GAATCGCATGGACAATGGCTGAGGAGATGCAGCGATGCAGCTTACTTGTTGCTTCGCCCATTGCTCGAGTTTACCCTCGACAACACCGCGCCTTTTCGTTTGGAGCTTACGGATCCTGAATGCATTTTCAAGCAACCTAAGTGCTCAGAGTCTCTTCTGAAGCTTGTTGCCTAGGGCGGTAACGGCTCGTGTGATATACATGGGTGTCCAATATGCATAGTGATTGATTGTGCCGCATGCCTTCGAGGAAAAGATCCTGCTCTGTCCCAAACTCACTAGCAATACATCTATTCCATCGCTCCCCAAGGTAATCTATTCCCCTTAAATATAGACCAGTGACCTTTGGGGATCACTTTATGCCTTTTCATGCAAGTGTTGCTCTTATGAATTGTGTCCTTACTTAAACAAGGACAAAACGCGTAAGCAATATCATCTCGGAGACGCAAAGCGCAGTGAAATGCGCCAAGCACTATGTCCGAGTGAGCCTACGCTTGGACAACCAGATATAGTCACGCGCCATGGTATTTTCTACCCTTTAGCCAGGTGACAGGATGGCAATGATGCGTTAAGAGCTTATCTATGAGCAGTGTGATCGTTTTGCGCCAGGAACCGTGGTCCTTGGTGTTGATTAATGGCCCGCGGCCGAGGGGCTAAGCTAGGAACTGCGGCGCAAGATTAAAAGCGCACTTGATGATGACCTGGTGCTATTGGGGGTGGGGGAGGGGAATGTAAGGATGGACCCCACAAGCTGCTCTCCAGGATATTCATATTCTAGGGGCCCGTACTTGACTATGCGGAGGTAGCGTAGAGAATTCTGTTCTGCGATTAAGGCGGTGAAGGGACATTGCGCGTTGGCCACCATGGGCTTTGACGAGATTCTAAGTTTGTTGAGAAGGTAATAATTTCCCATTAACAGACATAGAGTGAAAATAGATGACAGTAATGGAACTGGTGGTATCGTATTCTGCGTGGCCACTTGAAGCAGGGGGCGCAGTGTACGAGTCACCCTGGGATATACCCGCCGCCCTGCATAATGACCTTTGGCGAATCATAGGATGCAATGACTAACCTAATAGGACAGCTCCCTAGCAGTACCAATGGCACTGTACACTATGTCTCGCAGTGCCTGTCTCAGAGAACTTTGCTTTGCTTTGACGCAATTCCCGATTAGTAAGGCATGTCGCCATTATGACTACAAATGAACCCAACAAAACTTAATACGTGGAAATGCTGGCCAGAGCTCGATCATTTATCGGACTCTTAGGCTTGCGCGTGTTCCAATTACGTCCGGTAACAGCTTTGATACCAGGACACCTGACAGAACAGAACGCCGTGCTTTAACCATGTTTTTGTATCGGGAGCACTATCACAGCGAGAACGAGCCGAGCGCATGCATACATCGGGCGCCTCTCATTGCGTGGTTGCAGCCAAACGTTCACGTGGGATTAAACCAGCCGTCAGTTTCGACTCTTAATTGCACAAATCTATAAATATGACTTTCAGGTCCTTGCAGTCCTATTTTTCCCTCACTCATCCCAGCCGACATGGCCACCGTGAACTACCTCGAACAGGCGCTTAGACAGCGAACTTCGCCAACTGCGTCCTCGAAGCAGTCATTGTCTGATTATCAATACAGTGCTGGACTCGCTATATTTGATTGCTGCTCAGCGTATGAAGACTTCATTGTCCCGCAATTATGTCGGCTCATAGCCCCTCTTTTCAACTCGCATATGAAGATCTCAGTGCTAGAGATTGGACCCGGCCCGAAAAGCATACTTGGAAAGCTGCCCCATCATCTCCGACAAACGATTGCAAAGTACGCTGCATTCGAGCCCAACCACATATTTGCTACGCGCCTGGAAAAATGGCTCTGCGCTGCTCCGGAAACAGAACCCCCACTGCTCTCTCTGGAAGGCCCGCCCAACATCCAACGCACTCCGTTCGATATAAACAGCGACACGGAGAATTTTGCCTCTGTTGGTAGCAGCAACGACAATGAAAAGTACAATCTCGTTCTGTTCTGCCATAGCATGTATGGCATGAGGCCCAAAGCGAAGTTCATCGAACGGGCGCTGAACATGCTGGTTGAGCGACCCGAAGATGGACTGGTGATCGTTTTCCATCGCGACCGGGCCCTGCAACTTGATAATTTAGTGTGCTATAAAACGGATTCTTTTTATGACGGAGTCGTTCGCGTGCCCGATAAAGACGACGTACTGGACACCTTTGCGGCTTTCGTCGCAGGATTTAACATGCAGGATATGGAGGCGGATAAAGCTATTCGAGCCGAGTGGCGTGAGATGTGCCGGGCCTTAGGAAATCGTGAGGATGCCAATCCCAATCATCTATTGTTTAACTCGCCTGAGATTATGTTGGCCTTCACCCGACATGCGACCGCGTTACCAGAGCTCATAGCTCAGGTGCCGTTGGTGAGAGAGAGAAGGATAGTCAAGAACCGTGAGGCTCACTTCTACGGTTGCGCTGCAACCGTACGGCCAACAAAGATTCAACACGTTCAGCAGTGCATTCAATGGGCCCTAAAGCATGGAGTGGGTCTGACAGTCATTGGCGGAGGTCACAGCGGCCACTGTCTGTGGCCCAATGTCGTCTCCATCGACATGGCTGCCTTTGACCAGGTCCACTTGCTCACACGAGAAGAGAAAGGAGAGGCTGAATCTGATTCCCATCCCTTGGTCGTCGCCGAGGCCGGCTGCAAGGTCACTGATATTATTCACAAGTCAATGGAAGCTGGCGTGACAGTGCCCCTAGGGTCCCGCCCAAGCGTAGGTGCAGGGCTGTGGTTACAAGGCGGCCTCGGGCACCTGGCTAGACTATATGGCCTCGCGTGTGACCACATCGTCGGGGCTGTGCTAGTCAGCGTGAAATCTGGCGAGGTCTTCTGTATAGGCCGTGTACCCAGTCAGCATTGGCCGGACGGTGCCGTACGCCCAAATAACGAGATTGATCTTTTATGGGCAATCAAAGGGGCAGGAACCAATT